AAGGATCAGATGTGCTCTAAGGATTTTTATGGTCAAATATCACATCTATTGGATGGATATGGCAACCTAGAGGGGAATAGGGTTTTAAAAAAAGTATATAAATATGCTTAATTTTTTGAATTATTTAGATCAATTAAAAATTACAATTATATTAACCCATCAAGTATAAAAAAATAATTCTATTCAAAACAATAAATAATTATGAAAGACTTAGAATATGGAATAAATCACGATATTAATTTCACACTTCAATAGTGTTATAATCAATAGTGTTATAAGAGAATATAACACTGTAGTTTTACAGTGGTTCAACCAAACTCGATGTACTCCACTCAACAAATACCCATTGATAATTTTGAAAATAATTTTTCTGGACTCTTTCCACACATGAGTAAAACTGCTACAAACTTTTTTTACGAGTTTAAAAAGCAAACTCAATCCTTTTTAGGACTCAAGATCAAACTGTTATTGACGCTGAAATTTTGAAGAATACAACACACCTAAATTGAATAGTAGATTTACAATTTGAATACTCAAAACAATATCCTCAAAATACAATATAACTCTCTTTAAAGAATAAAATTAAAAAATAAAAGGGAAAGTTTGGAGAGATAAACCACAGAACTTTAGAAAAGTAAAGAATTCAAGATAAAAATTGTGCATAAATTAGGGAGAAGATAAAAATTGTACATAAATTAGGAAGATTAGTTAAAAAGGAAGATGGAGTAGCAAAAATCATCGTATAAATGGTTTATTTCATGAAATTATATTGTTGTGATAGATATATGATGTAGGAGAGGAAGTGAAATTATATTGTTGTGATAGATATATGGTGTAGGAGAGGAAGTGACGCATGATCCGGTGTTGAAAAGATCAAGAGCTATTAGAGAACCAAATAGGGATGTCCCTTCATTACATTATTTGTTTCTAATGAAGGGGAACCAAAGTCCTTTGATGAGGCCCTAAAGTTGGAGGATACAACCAAGTAGAAGCAAACCATGGATGATGGGATGTCTAGACTTCAAAAATGTATTGTTCTTTCATCTACTGAGACTTAGTACGTGACAATGTTGAAATTGGAAAGGAGATGATACGGATGACAGCCTATCTAGAAGAACTGGCAAGAAACAGCACAAGAATATTCTTTATACAAATAGTTAGTGTCACGACCTGACTTTTGAGGCTTCGAATCTCGGACTGTGACCCAAAAGACGAAATCGAAAACAAACAAAAAGAAGAGTAAAATAAAAAGATGAAAATCCAGTCAAATTAAAATAGAAGAAAGCGGAGTGTAATTTTCAAATATTTCAAGAGAGGATTTAAATTTACTTAAAGGAAATACAATACAAATATTAAAGGAATTTGCAAAAGACTCCAAAAGACCGAAAAGGAATTGACGCTCCGGAACGACCCCCTCTGTGACCGCACAGCTCTCGAACGCTCCTCCATCTCGATCGGCACCTGACAAAAAAGGTAGAAAGGAATGAGTATAAAAATTATACTCAATAAGCCACCTACTTGTAGGCTCTTTTCGCATCCTAACTTAATAGGTTTCCCACCGTCTCCTGATACGGTTCTAGGACATCTGGTTCTAATCTAGTCCCTTGGAGATTTCCCCTTAGGTTGCACCGATTCATCGTCCTTTCATTAGACACCTAGAGGTTCCTTACGCCAAGCTGATGGTCGGTATCTCTCTATGAGACCCTACCTTTACATGACTATCTGGGACTACATGGTATCTAGCCTAGGGGTGTGCTGAATACCCCTAAGCCCATATAATCCCCCTGTACGACTTGGGGACACATTTCTCATGCGAAATGGCTAAGAGCAGTAAGGACTAAGAACCCTTGGTTCTCCCACGAAGCTATAGATACTCTTCTCACACTACCGATCTATGAACACTCCTGAGATACTTTGTTGCCATGGTAATCCGCTAAGTTCCTAGGGGAAGGTTAAGTCTGGCTAGAGCGACTTCTCGCTCCTAACAGCAATTCCCTAGGCTTATCATAAAAATGGGTCCTAGAAAATAACCGAGTGTGCATGCAACCGTCTTCTAACATCATAATATATAATTCATGCAAATTAGGCATGTCGGCTCAATGGGGCAATGGCCTCCATCAAGCACCAAGAACACGAAATTCGCGCTCAATGGGGCGAACTCATCCATCAAGCACCCGGAGCGCAGAATACACAATTCCAACATAAATTACACGCATGCATACGTACGGCGGAAGCTTAAAGCATACAAGCAACAGTCAAATAATTCACCCAATACACTTAGATTAGCTCTCCATGAATGCTAGCATGCATACAATCCAGGCAAATCCTACAAGTATTTCTTCCTAAATACCTGGTGGTGACTTACCTGGTTGACGCATGCCTTTTCGCTAGCGTTTCTCTGCCCGTCAGGTGTCCAAAAATACTGATTTCCTTAAATTAGGTCCCTATTCACATAAAAACATGATTAGAATCTAAATCGAGATTCAAATTAGGCAGACATAAGTCAGACAGGCCGGAACTAACCCTCATGTGCTCCCACACGCCGCCACGCGTCCTCACGCGCCGGGAGAAGGTCTACTCGCGAGTACCACGCACACACACTCTCTGCGTAGTCATAATCCAAGCGCCTCGGTTCGGGTCGGTGAGTCAACAGGTCGGTTCGCTCGTGTGGGCCGCGACTGGTTTGAGTTTGAAGGCGACACGTGTCGGTGTCTCACCGGAGCTGCATAACTTCGGCCAACGCTAGGCACATGTCTCTTGCTTGCCCAGTCGCATTTTGCCACTAGCCATCGAGACATGGCTGTCAGAATTTCTTCTCTCTCTATTCTTGGACAATTCTCGGGTTTCTACCTCCGAATGGAGGTTTCAGCCAAACTTCTTCAAAGATCCTGTAGAGAGTTGTTCTTAGATGAATATATCAAGATTTCAGATCTTGATTCACAAAGAAAAATCGTAGATATGAGAAAACGTTCAAGATTTTACCTCGCGGGTTTTTTTGATTTCTTGATGGAAAATGGGACACCGGCCACCCACATTTTCTTTTCCCTTCCAAGATAGGCTCCTTGCATCATGACTTGACCAGAATAGACTCCGATGGTAGTTTTCGGTGAGTCTTCCACTGTTCATTCTTCCTCCTCTCTCGGTTCTCTCTAACCCCTTCTCTCACTGTTTCTCTTTTGGAGTACTCTTAATAGGGTTTCATTTGGACCCTCCAATTTGCCCCTCTTGACTTTTTCTTTTTTTTCTTTTTTTCTTTTCTTTTTCTATTTCTATTTCTCTTTCTCCGAGTATTACAGTTAGTGTGTCATACAGTTGGTGAGGAACCTGATTTATCATACACAGAAAGCGATACTATTTCACTCGCAGGTTAGTGAAAGATAGTGATGTGTTTGGAGGAGATAGAGGGTGCATAGAATCCAACATACATGTTGACAAAATGTGTTGATGTTGGAACATTGAAGTTGTGCAAAGCCTCAATTTGTATGGTGCAGTGAAGATTGAGAATGAAACTCTTGTTGACTAGATCAGTCTCCAAGTAAGAGATAGTTGGGGTTGACTGACATATATATGCTTTCAAAATGTACTTTCTTCGTTCTCTATATTTTCTCTTAGGGTACATACTGAAGTCATCAATAAAATCTTTAGCCAATATTTCTCCTTAAATTATTTTCTCTCATCTTTTTTGTGTTAATCTTGATGGAGTGTGTGCGTTGTTCTGCGATCCTAATACAACCTGAACAACTAATGCAAATCATTGAAGATATAGTAATGAGCATACGCGTTAGACTTTCCGGTGAGTTAGGATATACACTTATAATAATAATTATCAGTCAACTATTTATGCGACACCGCTTAAAGTCTTATATTGTAAAAGGTGTTAATATATAGCACTCAAATATATATTAAAAATAATAATAATAGAAAAATGGTCAAAGTCAACCGAGGGAGGGGGCAAAGATGACACTTTGCCATGATGGGTCCAAATGGAACCGTACCAAAAGTCCTACAAAGAGAAAAAGTGAGAGAGAAAGAGTTGAGAGAATTTGGAGAGAATATGATACAACCCCTATACATCCGGCATATGTCATTCTAGGTAATATTCATGCATAAGCGTTCATACATTCATCATTAATAAGATCATTTTAGGGTTGTGAGTTAAGAAAACTCTTCATCATAATACAACATGACATATTGTACATGCACATTATCATAATATGAGATATCATTATATTGTGTCATATCATCATCATACATCTTATGTCATCATGTCATAATAAATCATCAGCATCATCATCATCATTAAATCGTATCAATTCACATCATCATAATACATTATTATATCAAATAAATCCATATCATCATAACATCATCGTAATACCTCGTCATATCATAAAATTTCATCATCATCAGAATATATAAGACTATATTACACGTGCAAGGACCATTAAGCACATGTCATCATACGTAAATCAAGTCTTCCGGCCAAACTGATAGTAAAGCCACTTACTTGAATGACCTTAGCTAACGTTCTCCCTAAACTCGAATACGTTTGATTTTGTCTTTCGAAATTGTTCCAAGTATCGTTTGAGTGTTTCACTCTATTAGAACATTCACCTAATTCTTTAGTAATTCTAATTTCCTAGCTTAATTCAATTTATACTGACTTTAGTTGTCTTAAATATGGTCAAATTCAGTTTTGGGAGGGTCCAAAAGGTTGGAATTGATGTCCAAAATGCCAACTTGAGTGGGATAAGTTGTTTTCGAGATGAGGAGTCGAGTGAAGCTGATCCGAACCGAGGGAGACGGTGGCTGCAGACAAGACATGTCAGTCTTGAGTACTGAAATAAAAAGCATCACACTTCTGTTGTCGGGTACTGAAATAAAATTCAAAAGTTAATCAGATGGCAGGCCAAACCAATTAAAATTTGGAGATACTCTATTTTATTGCAAGACACACCCTGGCAGGTTCTGAAATAAATAAAAAAAAAACATCACACTTGTGTCGGGTACTCCAATAAAATTATATCTTTGATCACATGGCCAAACCAATTAAATTTGGAAGATATTCCATTTTATCACAAGGCACATCATGGCCTGAAGATATCTTTACTTGGGCTGCAACCGGCGGTATGCTTTGTTCAGGCCGGAATAAATTATAGGGATCCACCTTAGTTTTCACTTCCACAAGCCTCTCAAAATTATCCCCAAAATACTTCAACCCCCAAACGCTCGCTTCCTCGTAGCTCCTCGGAATCCCCTCCTCGTTGTTTCTTCCAATGTCAAGGTCTCTATAATTGACATACGCCGCCCGAGGCGATTTCGACACGAACGGAGTCATGTAATCATAGAGCTCTCGGGTCCATTCCAAGTGTCTCGAGTCGCCTTCGGGCGTATCCCATGTGACGTAATAGGCAATTTTGATGGGATATCTAGCTCGGTGTGGGGAGGGAGTGTCGGTTTCAGAAAACTTGTTCATTTTGCCACCATAAGGGATGAGTACGAGCTGCACTGTCTGAATGCCTTTGGCATTGAACCTTTCCCATATGCCGTGGAGGGCGGTTTGTGAGATGGGTTCAGTGGCGTAATCGGATTTGGTTTTGTATCTGCCATTGGTGAGTGGGGTTCGGTCTAGTAAGAAATTCATGTCCTTTGCTGTCACGAACCCACTTGCTGGATATGCCATTGATTCAACCCAGTTGGATTCTACACAATTTTCCATTCTCAATCCAACCTCTGGAAAACTGTTCTCCATTATGGAAATAAGCTCTTCTGCTCTTCCTAGAAAGAGGGAGTACAAAAACACCCCCATTATTCTTCCTCCTCCTTTCGCCTTCGCCTGAATTTGCAGCTGCGTCCAGATTACAAAATATAATTTGTATATCGACTTTCAAAAGTGTCTAAGAATTTGTTGAATAATATTCCATATGGGAAGGAAATCATAGATAAAAAATTTTAAAAAGTATTTGATGTATTAAAGTAAAGTTCAGAATTTTATGTTGTAGAATTCTACCTTCTAATCCAGATCATCGACATGGGTATTACAATGGTAACAGAGCACCACTTTTTCTAGTAAGATGTGGTTTTTGGAATGAATTTAGGCAAGAGTTGATGAGCATGTGACAACTCAGAGTAAAGGAAAAATATATAATGAACTGTAAACATATTCGAATGAGAGTAATCTTCAGAATAGAATAATTAAAAATAATTAAAAGAATCAAGAAGGTGAACCTTCATATTCCATGATTCAATCATATAAACTTCAAACTTAAACGTGTTTTACTTGGATCTATTCAATGTTGAATGACCTTCTAGTAAATTTCATAGGAAGCATGTCAATGGAGAAAAATAGTTATAGTCAGCATAGAGATAGTTATGGTCTTATAGACGTAGGAAAATAATTATAGTAGCATAGATTCTCAGAAATGCTAGGGCATAAAAGCCTATGGTTTCCTTTTTACACGTTTTTACTTAGTTGATTGAATATTTTCTTTTGACCCTCTCACAAATAAGTGTCATGTCATAGTTGGCCAATTTTAGAATAAGATAATTATTGAAACAAGTGAATCTCGATGACAAACAAAACCATTTTTTTCCCAAATCAAATCACAACATTTCTCTCTCTTTTATTTTCCATTTTCATTTTCTTCCGGCAAATTTCCTTCTACTTCTTTTTTAGGCTATCTACTATTTTCTCTTCATAAGTCAACCGGACACAGATTTCAAATCTTGATCCAAATCACGTTTAGCTAGGGTTACAAAATGTAAGTTTTAATTTTTTTGAAAATATGTTGTATATGTTAAAGAACTTATTAACAAGTAATAAAATTTAGAATTTAAGAACTTATGAGATACGACAATCATTTGATTTTTATTAGTTTTATAAGATTTTATGATTGGATGCATTTAAAAAAAAAAAAATTGAAAACCAAAAACCAAAAACATATTTTTGAAAGTCAACAAAACCTGTAACCATGGCGCCAATGAAGAGTCGTTCATCAATCTCAGGTGCTACAAACTGCCATCGATGAACCAAGTTGGTGGAGTTTTGGTCCCAAATTTAAAGGAAGTAACAATGGATGGAACAGGAACCAACTTCAACTTCCATGCCACAACAATCCCAAAGCTTCCACCGCCGCCCCCTCTAGTGGCCCAAAAAAAATCCTCCCCCATTGAATCCCTATCAACAAGCCTCCCTGATCTTTATTCTCATCCTCTATACTGAGATATATCATAAGATATATCATAAGACCAATAATTTGATTCGAATGTTGTTAAGAAATAAAAATACAAATAGAAATAGAAATGGAAAAGTGTATTATCTTCATTTAGGTTTAACACGTTTAAATACATACAAATTATTAACTTAACCTAAAAATAGAAAAAAATATATAACTAACTAAATCTGGTAAATAAATAAAATACACCATTAATCAAATTTATACTAACAACTCCCTAACCCTAAATATGTCAGATATATTCTAACTAATATATCTCCAAAATATCCTCTTAATACTCCCCCTCAAGTTGGAGAGTGTATGTCGATCACACCCAACTTGTCCTTCAAAAGGTCAAATTGCTGTCTTCCCAGAGCTTTAGTAAAAACATCTGTCAATTGCATTTTGGTCGAAATGTAACACGGTTTGATGATTCCAGCTTGTAACTTTTCTCAAACTATATGACAATCTATTTCAATGTGTTTCGTACGTTCGTGAAAAACTGGATTGGCTGCTATATGTAATGCTGCTTGATTATCACAATATAATAATGCCGGTTCGGACAGTGGAACATTCAAGTCTTGAAGAATGTATCTTAACCAAGTTAACTCTAAACAAGTATTTGCCATAGCTCGATACTCGGCTTCTGCTGATGATCTGGACACATTAGTCTGCTTTTTAGACTTCCAAAAAATAATTGAATTTCCAAGGAAAATAGAGAACCCAGAAATAGACCGTCTGGAAGTTCGACAACCACCCCAGTCAGAATCACAATATGCTTGTAATCTTAAATTGTTTTCAGATGACAGTAGGAGTCCTTGACCAGGAGTGCCTTTGATGTACCTCAGAACTCGAAGAGCTGCCTCCCAATGTGGTTTTCTTGGTTCATGCATAAATTGGCTAAGCATACGAACTGAATAAGCTATGTCAGGCCTAGTGACAGTCAAATATATTAATCTTCCAATCAACCGTCTGTATTTACTTGGATCGTTCAATTTCTCTCCTTCAGTTAAAGAAAGTTTCAGATTTTGCTCCATAGGAAATTTTTCTAGACGTGCTCGTGTAAGGCCTGTGTCTTGAAGGATGTCTAGAGCATACTTCCTTTGAGACATAAAAATTCATTTTCTAGACCGAGAAAATTCAATGCCTAGAAAATATTTCAAATTTCCTAAATCTTTGATAAGGAATTTCTGGAGTAAACTAGTCTTGAGATATTGCATTTCTTTGAGATCATTGCCTGTCAACAGAATATCAACATAGATTAGAACTACAGTGAAAAAAGTACCTTTACTCTTGGTAAACAAAGAGTAGTCTGCTTTGGACTGAGTGTAGCCTGCATTTTGTATAGTTGTAGAAAATATGGAGAACCAATTGCGAGAAGCCTGTTTTAATCCATAAAGAGATTTATGGAGCCGACATACTGTATTCTCCCCCTGTCGACGAAGACCTGGTGGTAAAGACATATAAACTTCCTCGTCTAGATTACCATGGAGAAAGGCATTTTGAACATCCAACTGATGGATGAATCATTTTCGAGCAGCAGCAACAATGAGTAAGCAACGAAGTGTAGTAAGTTTCGCTGTAGGGGAAAATGTTTCTGTGTAATCAATACCTTCAACCTGAGTGTATCCCTTTGCTACAAGTCGAGCTTTATGACGTTCAACAAAACCATCAGAGTTGCATTTAATTTTGTACACCTAGCGACAACCAATAGCTTTATGACCAGGTGGTAGAGGAACGAGAGACCATGTATGATTACGTTCCAAAGCTGCAATTTCATCATTCATAGCCTGCTGCCATAAAGGGTCGCCAACTGCCTCGTCATAGGTTTTAGGTTCTGTCTGGGATGTAATAAGAGCTAGAAAAGCATGTTGAGTACGGAAAAAACGAGAGAATGAAAGGTAATGATGAAGGGGATACCTGGTGCCAGTGCCGGGACTTGAGCTAGAGGTTAAATGATTGGCTCCAGAAGACATCTCATAATTCTTATGCCAAGCTGGAGGCTGTTTAGTGAGAGTAGAACGTCGGAGTGTTGATGTATCAGGCGGGATAAGATTGAAATCAGTGGGCAAATCTGGAGAAGGTGGAGGAGACGACGAAGTAGTAGGTGAAGGGATAGGAGGTGAAGGAGGAATGGAAGGTGGAGGATGGATGCTTAAGTAGGATGGATCATGAAGTGGAACAACAGGAGTCGAAGGAGCTAATGTCGAAGTTTGTGAAGCTGATGAAAAAGGAAAATCATCTTCACAAAATTTAACATCACGACTGATAAAGAATTTGTGAGATTGCATGTCATACAATTTGTAACCTTTATGACCACAAGGATATCCTACGAAAACACAAGGAATTGCCCGAGGTTCAAATTTTTTCTTAGGATGTACTATAGTTGCATAACATTTACAACCAAAAACTTTAAGATGATGAAATGTAGGTGATCGTTTGTAGAGTGCTTCAAAGGGTGTCTTGTTAGATAACACTGGTGATGGCGTTCTATTTATAAGATAAACAGCCGTTAAAACGCACTCTCCCCAAAAATTAAGTGGAACCTGTGACTGAAAAAGAAAAGACCTAGCTACATTTAGGATATGGCGATGCTTACGTTCTACGACTCCATTTTGTTGTGGAGTATAGACACAAGTGCGCTGAAATTCAATACCACAAGAAGTAAAGAATGGTTGCAAAGATAGGAACTCAGTCCCATTGTCTGATCGAACTATCTTGATAGTAGTATGAAATTGAGTTTGAACAAATTTAACAAAGTTCATTAACAAATGATGTACTTCTGACTTATGTTGCATTAGAAAAACCCAAGTACATCGAGTAAAATCATCAACAATAGTGAGAAAAAACGCAAACCAGAATGGGTAGGAATTTTATATGGTCCCCAAACATCACAATGTATCAGATCAAAGGCAGAATGGGTTGTTATTGAACTTTAGACAACTTAGTTTGTTTTGCTAACGAGCAGATACTACAATTATGAGAATAACTCGCATTATTAAGATGCAATTGATTGCTAGAAATTTAAAATGAGAAAAAGAAGAATGACCTAGACGTAAATGCCACAAATCAGATGACTGAGATACTTGATGAGCTGAAGATTTGATTGGAGATGAAGAAATATGATAGAGACCTCCAAATTGTTTACCCGAGCCAATCATCTTCCCCGTAGCCAAGTCCTGCATAACACAAGAATCAGGATAGAAGGTGACATAACATTTCAAGTTATTGGTAAGTTTGCTGATCGACATTAGGTTTAAATTGAATGAAGACACACATAAAACGTTGTTTAACTTAAGGTTAGGGCTAAGGAAAATATTGCCAGTATGTGACACACGTGCTGTCTCTCCATTAGGCAAATTTATTGTAGACATGATGGCAGTCTTTGGATCAGTCATAACAGAAGATTTTGATACTATATGATCCATAGCTCCACTATCGAGAATCCATGAATTAGAACTCGCAGAGTTAACAGATAATGTAGATATGGGAAACAAACCTGCAACATTGATGTGATTGTCAGAATTACCAGAAGGGTTTTGATTGATTGCAAATAAGGCTTGTGCTATCTGTCGTAATTGATCAGAAGAAAAATTTGGAATGGAATTAGGTGACTGTTCTTCTGTATTCAACTGTGAAACATCGGCCATATTTGCAGATGATCAGTATTCACGATGATTGTGTTGATTGACTTGTCTTGTCCTTGTAGAATTATTTTTCTGTCGACACCGATCTTCTGTATGTCCCCTTCTATCACAAAACTTACAATGAAACTTAAGAATTCGACACTCATTGATTGTATGACCACTTTTATTGCAGTGTTCACACGATTTTTCCTTGGCGAATTTTAAATATGTTGTTTTCTTCTGCACTGCTGATGCAATCGAGAAATTCTCAGTAGGTTCAGAAGTTACCTGTCGCTGCATCTCTTCTTGTACAAGTAATGAATAAGCTTGCCTCACATTAGATAATGGAGACATCATCAATATGTTAGATCTCACCGTTTTATAAGACTCATTGAGCCCCATGAGCAATTGCATCAACTTGTCTTCTTCGCGTTGATCAATATGTATTTGACGTTGATTACACGTAAATGGTGTGCGGTACGCTTCCAGTTCATCCCAGAGTGCTTTGAGCTTGGTGAAATATGTTGATAGTGCCATAGTTCCTTGTGACATCGTTGCTATCGAGTTTTGTATTTGAAAAATTGCTGGAGCATTCTTTTGTGAGAATTGATCGCGAAGATCAACCCACACTTGATGAGCTGTCTTGGCGTGAATAATGCTTTTAGCGATCTCTGCTTCAACAGAATGAGTTAACCAAGATATTATCATACTGTTGCACTGATTCCAGAGTTCAAATTCGGTTGAATTTGCATCTTGGGTCGGTTCCTCATTTGTGCCATCAATGAAGCCAATTTTCTTCTTGGCAATAAGAGCATGCATAACTGATTTAGTCTAGGATTGGTAATTTGCTCCATTTAATTTGATTGGAAGCTCCATTTAATTTGATTGGAACAAGTGAATATCCTGGCTGATCAGAGTCATGCATATAGTAAGGATGTGTTAAATCAACATCCGAAATTTTAAAGCTGGATTTGGCTGATTCCGCCATAAAGGAAATTTTGATATTTAAGAACACCACGATCGATGCTCTGATACCATGTTAAGAAATAGAAATAGAAAATAGAATTGGAAAAGTGTATGATCTTCATTCACGTTTACCACGTTTAAATAGATACAAACTATTAACTAATACCTAAAAATAGAAAAAATTTTATAACTAACTAAGTCTTGTAAATAAATAAAATACACGATTAATCAAATTTATACTAACAACTCCCTAAATATCTCAGATATATTATAACTAATATATCTCCAAAATATCCTCCTAATACATTTGCATCCACAAGTTGAGCA